TTTTTCTATAAAATGGAATATTACTCAGCCATAAAGAACGAGAAAATAGATTCATTCATAGGAAAATGGATACATATTGAAGATATACTCCTAAGTGAAATAAATAAGTCACACATGTGTAAATACCGAATAGTTTCCCTGGTGTGAATATTCTGCAACAATGCATAAGATTCTAATAAGATTACTGACATTTAGAAATGGGAAGAAAGGAGCTAAAGGTGTAGGGAAGGTGGGATGGGTAGAGGAAGAGTAAAAAGGGAAAAGAAAAAAATGTGAGAGAATGAAAAGATGAAAATAAAGTGTTTGTAAGATGGGGAGGGGAGGAGGGGATGAAGGGAGGGCAGAGGTAAGGGGAAAAAATGAAAATGAAGACTTGTCATGTAGAGGTACAAGATCCCAACAATGAATGTAACTGTATTGTATCCCTAAAATGTACCAACAAACTCAATTAAAGCTGAAAAAAAAAAGTGTTCACTGAAGTAATGGCAGAAAACTTCCCAAATAGGGGGAAAGAACCTGACATACATATGAGTCAGGCTTATAGGACTCCAACTAGCCATGATCAAACAAAAACAAAAACAAAAAAACTACACATATGCATACACATAGTTAAGATTCCAGAATCCCAACAGAAGAACAAAATTCCACAAGCAGCTAGAGAAAAGAAACTAATTTGTGTGCAAAGGAAAGCCCATCAGAATCACAGCAGATGTCTCAAAGAAAACCCACAAGGCAACAAGAGCATGGAGGGACATTTCAAGCCCTAAAGGAAAGCAACCTCCAACCCAGATTGATGTACCCTGCAAAACTATCTTTCAAAATTGATGGAGAAATAAGATGCTTTCATAACAAAGAGCACCTTAGGAACTTCACAGATACTAAGCCAGTACTCCAAAAATTTTTATTTATTTATTTTTAGTTGAGTTTATTGGTACATTTTAGGTATACAGTACAGTTACATTCATCATTGGGAGCTTGTACCTTTACATGACATGTCTTGGTTCTCATTTTTTCCCCTTGTCCCTGCCCTCCCTTCTCCCCATCTTCTCCTCCCCATTTACAAACACTTTATTTCCATGTTTTAATTTTATTATATTTTTTTCCCTTATTCCCTTTCCCCCACCCTTCCCACTTTCCCTGCACCTTTAGCCCTTTTCTTCCTGTTTCACATTGTCAATTATCTCATTAGGATCTTATGCAGTATTATAGCTTTTCACATCAGAGAAACTATTCAGTATTTACGTATGTGTAACTTATTTATTTCACTTAGGAGTATATCCTCAATATGCATCCATTTTCCTATGAATTAATCTAATTTCTCATTCTTTATGGCTGAGTAGTATTCCATTTTATAGAAAAACCACATCTTCTTTATCCAGTTCCAAAATTTTTTAAACAATAGCCTAGGAAAAGAAAATGAGGATCACAATCCCAGGAAGCCC